AGGAGAATAATTTATTGACTCGGGATATCATTATTGCATTATTAATTATATTTTTCATTCCAATAGTCAAGAGGAGGGGGGAAGGAGAGAGACGCGATTAGTAGACGAGGTTCTGAAAATTGCCGTTGCATTTTTCTCTCGCTCCAACTTGCCGTTTCGTTGGCTGGAAAATGCTTGGCTTTCGCGGCTTTCACTCCGCCGCTTTGATCCTCGTCCGTAACCGGTATGGAATAATATAAATGTAAATCGGGATCGAGAGACTTGCGTATCCCGGCCGCGTAATAGATCGCAGTTTTTCACGACGCAAAAGAAGAGAGAGAGAAAAAATCTCGACACAATGTTTTGCAGGTGCATCATAAACCTGGTCTATTTCCCGGACCAGTCGTTGATAGTTGGCGTGCGCGCGCGTGTATCGCGATTACCATATTAATTTATTACCGGGATCGGTGTCGTGTTTCCTCGACAAGTAGGCGCGCGTACTTTTTTACGCGCGTGGGCGCGGATCCGCTCCTGAATCATCAACGCTCGGTCGATCGAGTGAGAGGTTAATCGAACCGATCTCGTCCGCCTCTGACGATATCGCTTATGCCCGTGTGATAAACGAACTTGACATGCTAAAAGAGAGTCGAAATTTTTTTCCCACTTTCGATCTCAATTTTTATAATCTAACATTTAATAATTAGTCTCGGATCATCCCTTTTCGAAACTATTTAATCTTTAACAATAAAAAAAATGTAATTTACATAAAAACTTTCTTTTTTAAATTTCTAACAATAAGTAGAAAACTGTTCGCTCACTGCCTTTTTTTACAAAATAAGAGCTCGATTTCTATAAAAATCAAACTTATTGAAATTTTTTAGAATCTATAAACGTGAGAAAATTGAGATTGAAAAATGCGAGCAACATCACTACAAAAGAGAGAGAAAAAAAAAACAATTTACAAACATTACCACGGTAATTTTTTGAGCGCATTAGCGGGAAAAAAATGCGGTTAGAAGCGAACGCGTTATCTGCCGTCATGCCGATCTCGCCACGATATAACAGTGACCGTATCCATGGATTTTTCATGAATATTCATGATACGCCGAGCGGCGCTATAACCGACGCGCGCAAACCCTCGGCTATTATCTAGGAATCAGCCGGTCGGATAATATCGCGGAGGAGAGCGGCGCGACGCGTATATTTAATGACGCGGTTAACGGCGGGGCGAGAAGCGGAAAATGTATTTTCCGTGCGGCCGTCGGAGATTAAGAGACAATCTCGAGTTGAAAAAGTGATTCGCGCGACGATCAGCTTCTTTCCCTCTTCCCCGATCGACTTAATCGCGAGTTGAAATTTGATACGGCGGGAATAAAACGATCGCGAGGAAATCAATATCGTTAGCATAATATCGCCGTTAATATACGACAGGTTATATATTCGGTTGTGGCTCGCGTGGTGGGCGTCCCGTCGATCCCGAGGTCGGTATTTTTGGCCTGATAGACGGGCAATGTCGCCTTAATAGTACAAAGACGGATCCGACGATGCGGTGAGCGACGTTATATTGGACGGGCCTTGTTTCTGAACGAGCGTCATCTTGCCGGGATAAACGCTCTTACGGAATTCTTGGAAATCCGTACGTGTTCTTGTTTCCCCTGCCGTTCTACGAATCAAGTTTTGGATGCGTTAATTAACGTCGACAATTTCCGATATATTTATGAGACGCTGCGACTAGCTATACCGCGAAGACTGGATCTGTATAAAAGCGCGAGTGAAACGTCATCTCTTCTAGACGATTTCTCGCGAAAATCATCGATATTCGCCGGAATGTCGAGAATGCGCGCGATGTCAAGAGGCTCTCGAACAACCGTCGACCATATTGTCCGGACGCGCTTCTCGTTCCACGGCCGATCGGCGACTGCAGATAAAATTGCTGGGTCGACAGAAATATCGCGTCGAGATAACAGAGCCGAGAAAGAGTTATGTCAGCGCGTCCGTCAGAGTGGGACACGAGAGAAGCGAGGGAGAGAAGTTAAGAGAGACAAGAGGAAAGAGTCCGCTCCCGCGTCCTGGAGAGAGAAGAGGGCAAAAAGTCTCGCGAAATCCTGTAAAAACGGGAGTCGAGGACGAGGGGGAGGATCGAGGAGAGGCGGAAAGCGCGATAAATATCTCGGAAGTTTTTATTGCGTCGAGAGTGTGAAGTGGTTCTCTCTTCTTGGTTCTCTGTCTGTTTATTTCTTGCCGTCTTTATCCCCGGCCGCTCGTCACGCTCTCTCTCTCTCTCTCTCTCTCTCCCTCTCTCTTTCTCTCGTTGTTCGACAGGGAGAAACGACTGGCTTAATGCATGTTCCTCTCGTAAATCCCCGCTGTTCGCTAGTAATATTTCATAGTCGAATTATTGGAAAATTGAAAACTGTGTTTTCTTAATATTGTATATTTCGAAATGATCGAAAGATTGCGGAATCGTATTATAAAAGGCAGCGCATATAGAGATCGTTAACGGGGAAAGGCGAGGGGGGGGGAGGGGGATATCTCAGGGTGCAACGGAATGGTCGAGGATACGAAAGCATAGCCGCACGTAGAGCTTGTTTACTTTTCATCGCGGCTGCGCCGTGATGCAGCGGATCCAATTACAGACAGGCCATCGTTGGCTCCGATTAATTACAGAGCCGCAGCTGCTCATCTCGCTGTGCCTGCTGTATTCGTAATATTGTGTTTCGCGCCCCTCTCTAAATTTAGACGGCGACTACTTTCCGCGGACGAGGCCGTGGCCGCCATTTCCTTGCATTTGCGGCGAGCAATTTTGCTCGCATATTTCTCGGAGCGATAAAACCTTTTTATATAATATCCGGAGGAACGGATATTTTTGATTTGCAATTGCGTTAAAAAATGGTGGAGTTTTTATATATCATGTGACGCGGACATTCGCCGGAAATAATCGCGAGATGCGTTGCTCTTGAAATTAATGCCGTATTAATTCGAAGGAGACGGAGGACGAGACGCGCGGTTTTGGTAAAACATCGTTCTCTCTTGTTATCAGCGTATGCCGTGAAGGTGGAGCGACGTCGGCGTTGTTGGCAAGAACCACTCGATATATCGATCGGCCGACCGGACCAACCCACCCGTAAGCGGGTTTGCATGCGTCGCATGTGCACGCTCCGGCATTCGCTGGCAACAATGTGCATCCGCAAATTTGCACGGATATTAAGAACGCTGCACTTTCCTGACGGCGAGAGATGGGGATCGGTTAATTAGATGGACCGACATCGTCGTCGTCGTCGTCGTCGTGGTCGTCGTTGTAAGATAATAACCGGGGATAATTAATTTGATGCGTAATGAGCTCTCATTAATGACATAGGTGACCGTATCGTCGCAGGACGGTCATAATTGCCCATTCATTTTTGTCCCACAAACGTCACTCTAATCTCAGATATCGTCGTCGCGCCAGTTCTCTCTTTTTTTTTTTTTTTTTTTTTTTTTTTTTTTTTTTTTTTTTTTGGCGTTGTGAATGCAGTCGAATCGTCTTCCATGCGTAAAACGAAGGCGTCGACTAATTTCGGAGGTCTTTCTGACTAGCACTGTGAAAGTTTGATGCTTGGCGCCATTTTTCAATAACGGCTTCGCCCTTCCCCCATTTTACTATGGGTTAGAGCTCTATTATATTGGAATAAAGATTATAACGGAAATTTTTTATGAATAGATGAATTTCAGAGGACACGTATCTGATATATATACAGGTATCTAGTATAATTTAATCAATTGATCGCGATCTGTAGGTTGAACTGTAGAATTCTGTAGCGTACCGGTTACCGCGTGGCATCACAAAATAAATAATAAATATTTAAATGCTTATCGTTAACGAGTAATTTTGTAAGAATTATATGCTGTTCTTATATTATTATTTAATTTTTATACTAAGCCGCCTCCCCCCCCCCCCTCCTCGCCCCCCCTTTTTTTTTTTTTTTTTTTTTTTTTTTGCTGTTAATTATCTTCTCATTAAGCGCAATTGTTTTTACGCTATTGCATTTAAATTTACGTACGTGATTTTTATAATCATTAGCAAAAGAGTTGCCTTTTATCCGAAATGTTCATTTATTTCGTCAGGTACATTGATCCCGGCGCGCCTTCGTTCCGTCTCGCACAGACGAGACTTTGCATCGAGGGGATGGAAAATATGTATGTGTAAATATATTGTTCGAAATCAAATATGCAGTTACATATTATATTGGCAGTATAAAAAGTTGTTGCGGTGAATCATTATATAGTCTGCATAGACTTTTGCACGCGACACGCGGTGTCCGATTCGGCCTCGGAGCGCAATTAACGTCAGGCGAACATTTCTCCGGTCCAGCCGGCAATTTTGCACGCGACGCGATGGAGACGCTCGTATAACGAAAGTAATATCGCTAATGAACGGCTAATTACGCGCCGGGGTAACCCAATGGGCGAATCGCAATGGCGATTCAAACTCGAGCGACGAAGAGTAATAGGTACGCAGGTTTCGTGTCCGTTGGTCGGATAAGAGAAAGAGCAAGTGGACCTTGCACTTAATTAAGACGTCTGTCGCAATTAGGGTAGCTTTTACGATCGGTATAAAAACCAATCATTCCGAGCACGCATTTCTTCAATCGGCTTCCCCTTCCTCGCGGAACGTACTATGATGACGTCCAGACGTCCTCGCGGCTATCATTTCCAGATAAGCGATTCCCGGAGCGGAGCACGATCGCTCACCTGCTCGATCACTTCATATTGCGTTCGTATAAAAGGCGGAGTTGTTGATAAAAAATATTAATTACAGCGGCAATGAAATCCGTTTTGAAAGCAGCTAATGCGATCGATGCTTTCAATGTTTATTACATTTGTTTTCGCATTGCTTTAATTTCGAGAATGAAATCCCAATTTGCATTACATTACTGGCCGGAATTTATTTGTTCAATAAATATTAAAGATATCGATATAATCGAGATTATAGATAAATATATTCCGATATTCCATCTAACGTCTTCCGTTTGTTTTTCCAGCAAGGATGTCGAGCAGCGGCGTGTCGAGCGGTCCGGTGAGCCAGGTCTGCCGGCCGCACTTTCACAGCTCGGTTCTCCACCCGTGGCTGTCCGGCAGCAGCGCGGACACCTCGAAGACGCCCTGGGGATTCCCCGCGACGACGGCGACCACGGGCGGCGCCGTGAGCGACGAGAAGCCGCAGAGTCCGCTGGGATCCTCGCTGCCGCCCACCAGTGGAAGTTTGTCGAGTCACGGTGGCGGCGGCGCCGGCCACCATCTCTTCTCCTTCCCGCCAACGCCGCCCAAGGACGCTACGCCCGACAGCATAACCGCCAGCACAACCTCCAGCACAAACAACAACAACAACAACTCGACGAGCGCCAACAACAACAATAACAACAGCGGCAATCCTCTCTCCGGGCTGGGCGGCGGAGCCGCGAGCGAGTACCAGGCGGCGGTCGCACACGCGGCGGTGATGGGCGCGTTCATGCATCACCAGGACGCGCTAGGCGCGTCCGGCGCCGGCTCGTGCGACATCAAGCCGACGGTGATGCTCGGCCATCATCACGGGGCGCCCTCGCCGCCGCATCAGCAGCACAACGGTTCCAACAACGGCGGCAACGGTCCCGGCACCAACGGCTCGTCCGCCGGCCAGGTGAAGCAGCGAGAAGGTAATAACCAATCCGGCAATGTGACGGGCAGCCAACAGGCGAGCACCACGCAGCAACAACAGCAGCAGGACGCGTATCAGAGCAACAACGGCGTGCCGGCCGGTGGCGGTGGTGGTGGCGGTGCTGGATCCTCTGGCAATGGTAATAGCGGTAGTAGCGGCGGCAGCGGTGGCGCGGTCTCGCCCTGCAGAGACAGTTACGCGGCTGCGGCCGCGGCCGCCGTCGCGGCCGCGAGCAACAGCCACCATGCCTCTTCCGGTTCGCAATACGACCCGGCCGCGAGCGCGTACAACATGTACCAGCACTTGCAGTATCCCGCCACCAGCCACCATCACCATCATCATCATCACGGCGCCACCTCGGTGTCGTCCACGGCCGCGTCGTCCCACAATCCGCACAACGGCGGTGCGGTCGCCGGTATTTTCGGTCACCACGCCGCCGGTGCCGGTAACGCGGCCGGCGGTGGCCTGACCGGCGTCGCGGACTCGAAGCTGCTAGTCGGTCACGCGCACGGAAACACGCCGGGCTCGCCCTCCGCGCAGCAGCAGCAGCAGCAAAAGCCGAGGAACAAGTCGAGGACGTCCGCCGGTAAGCGGCACGCGCGTCTCTTTCACGGTTCTCTTTCCGTTCGTCTTTTGGGTTCTCTCTCTTTCGGATCACTCTTTTGGTTCTTACGTCATTTCCTTTAGTTTCTTTCGATTTTGTTTTTATCTTTTTCTTTTATTTGGTCATCTTTTTCTTTCCGTTGCTAATATCTTTTGACGCGGGAAAAATGTTTTGGAAAATGATTTGGGGTTGAATAGAAGCTCCCGTAGGTTTTGTGAAAATTTGAACAGAATCAAAAACTATAGTCTTTTTTTATATTTATTAGAGAAATTTTAAACAGAGATTTTAAGAAATTTTTTGTGTATGTTGTTTAAGAGACCTTTTTTATTTTTCAAAGCACAATCTCAATTCGAGGGGATACGAATGATAAATGACATTTTTCTCGCATAAAATATATTGGAATTTCTTTCCTCAACTCATTTATGGATTTTTTTTGCATTATTGTTTGCTTTCGGCATCTTTTGTTCTGCTTCTTTGCACCGGCGTCGATTATTAAAAAATACTAATATGTAAATTTTCAATAGTTTTGTTTTTATTTCATCTCTTTGTGACTATATTACATATCAAAGGATCTGATTTATGATATTTCATGAAATTTATTCAAGTCAATGTACAAAAATCGACGCCAATGCGCATTTCTTCCTAATTTTATAACCTCTCCCATTCGTTTTACGTTCAATTAAACTTTTTATATATTTGTTTTTACTTTTATTTTATTTTATTTTAAAAAATAAATTTTTTTCAGTTTTTCTTAAAACTTATTTTTATTTTATCTGTATTCTCCCTCATTCGACGTCTAATCGATATATCTCTCTCAGAAATATTTCGAATATCGTCTAGATGTGCAAACAAACGGGAGAGAGTATACAGACTGCATTCTTATTATTTGACTTTGTTTTCTCATTTTTTGATTTTAACCGTGAGCTTTCGATGGCGGTCGTCTTACGCTTGAAGTTCGTTCAGAACACGTTTTTTCCACCCCGTTTCTCTTTTTTTTCGGTCGAGCAGTATCACACAATAATGAGGAAGAGAGGGAGGGAGGCACTGTGACTGTGATCTTTTGTATTTTGCCTCACTGATGTGTTTTTTGCGTGGCACCCACTCGAGAGAGCGAGCGCGAAGCACCACACCCGATTTTCGAGATGTGACACACAATATATATTATATATTTCTATGTATCCCTGTCTATATAAATACACATACCTCCTTATATACATACATACACACATATATATATTTATATACACACACATACACATACATAAGTATTCAAAGACACGAAGAAAAGCACAGATTTTTTTTCGATGTGGTGTGGCTAGCGCTGCGTTTTTTTGTTTTTGTCACGGCAAAGCTCCCTCTCAAAGAGTCCACGGACTATTTTTCGGCGAATATTTTTTTCTCGTCTCGCGAAAATTGGCGAGTCACCGATTATAATTATCGCTCGTAAAATCGCGCAACGATGAGAACCGCACGACGAGTCCTTTGGGGAGTTTTTTTTTTTTTTTTTTTTTTCCCTTAGGAAATTGCGCGTTCGCTCGCGGTAACGCTCGTCGTGGACGAAGTCGAAAGAGGAAGAAGGTGGCGGCGGTCGACGCGAAGCGGGGAAATGAGAAACGGTTGAAAAATGCCGGATACGCTGATTGCGGTAATAATGGCCGGTTGCTTCGGCCAGCGTAGCGGCGCCGACGGCGTGGTAAAAATCCCAATTCCGGGAACAATGGCCCCCGGCTTCGCGGCATGGAAGCCCGCTAATTGAATCGACTTACGACACACACATATATACACGCCAGCCGCGCGTCAGTCTCTCGCGAAAAAGAAGCCAGACGGAGCACCCGCGGCTCATTTAGCGACGCCTTACCGCGATCGTCGAGAAAATCGCCCGTGAGAAGGCCACGAAAAGTGATTTTCGCAACAGGGAGCTGCGAGTCTGTCGACGAGAAGCGGTGCCTGAAATAAGAGAGGTGTCGTTTGAGCAATATACCTCGCAAACGGTAGACACACGAGATTGGCAAATATCCTTTTACGCGCGATGGCCAGGGGAGGGGGGGGGGAGAAACGGGATGGAACGGAGCCGTCGAAGAGTCATCGAGAGTGGAAACCAAGGAGGAGAAGCTTTGCGGCACGAGTCCCGTTAGTTTCGAGAGGATCACGACGGGCAATTAGCGGAGGAGGAGAGAAGGAAGAAAGGCAGAGGAGAGTGAGATAGAGAGAGAGAGAGAGAGAGAAAGATAGTCGTGGGCCAGCGCGAGATTTGTGACGGAACGCCGCTTCCCTCGTACTGAATCATAACTCGGCCGTTGATGACAGAAGTGGCACGGGACAAGCGGCGGTTTCCTTCCGCCTCCGCTCCGCCGATCCTCTTTCGCGCTCCAACGACCACCGGTGCCCCCCGGGCCTAAATACCCTCGCCCGTTATTGTTTCTGCGATCGACAATAGGGTACAATCGCCGCGGTAAACGTCGCGAAACGCTTACGAGGGGATTTTCTTTTTACCGCGCATGAATCTTTTATCTCGGCGTAAAATATTCGATGCGTTGATAAATTTAAAGTATATTTTATTTAATACGTTTATAGGAAAATTACAAGAATACGTGAGAAATTATGTTAAATATGATGAAAAAAAAGTAAAGAGAAACGTGTAATAATTATATTCTTTTTGTTATATGTATCGAGATAACAAAGTAAGAGACACACAACAACGGAAAGTTTCGGGAAAGTCGAAACGGAAGCGCACGCCTAACGAGCGCTTTTGTCGCATGCCTGGCATTAAGGTCGGAGGTGACGCCGAAAACGGGAGAGCGAGTTACAGTCGCTTTAGGGGTGAAATCGGCCATTTTACTGTCACCTTCTGACACGAGAACTATATTTCGACGTAAACGAGCGTCACGTCGGTGTTTCGTGGCTGATATCCATCGTCCGCGCCGGAAACTATCCGCCCGTTCCATCGGATCGATAGAGTCGGAAGGCATCGGCGTAAGGAAAAATACACGCAGTTGGAAACTATCGTCAACAACAATCTACGAAATGTATCATCATTAATCGATCGATAATAAATAAATTGGCGAAAAGAATGCGAAAAACGCAACTTGCTGTCTACGAGAAAAATGCATCGAGAATTACCAAGTAAAAAAAACAACACAATATCTAAAAGAGAAGATGATGATTTAATCAGCAATCAGCGTCGTCAAAATCAAATCAGAAAATAGCAAGGAGGAATCGAGATTGATCGTCGCTCGGTTATTGTCGACACGAGGGATCAGGAGTCGTCGCAGAATGGCGATCGACGCGGTAGTCGCTCGTTATCACCCTCCGGAATCTGCCGGGATTCGATAAGACCGAAATCGAATTAAGGCATCGAGAAGCGAGTCCTCGGGTGGGTCCTTCCAATTAGTTTCGGGATCGATCCGGCCACCGAAACGGCAATTGGACGAGCGTTAAACTCGGTCGGATCCGGTTAGCGTCTTCACGCTAGGATCTCGTTGGCGAGAGAGGAGAGTCTTAGACGCGCGTACGTGAAACGTCGACGAGATCGACTCTGTTCGATCGACTCCGTTATGGAATCATCCGCATATACAGGTGAGACTCGCAAACGAGCCGCTCGCGTGTCGGCGATTATTATATACGTGCGACCTACGTTACGTGCGCCGGAATTATCCCGCCGCCGTCAAATTTCGCCGTTAAATCGAGGTCGAGTCATTAATCAGCGACGCGCGGTTCGAATCGATATCGCGATTACACACGATCGTCCGACATCTTTTTCGCGATTAATATTATCTTTTAAACGCTACATCTTTTTTATAAAACGCCGCGTTTCTCTAAATACAGATGTATTTTGTAACATAAAATGCATTATAAATTTTACGACGGTAATTGAAACGCACGTATATAAGCGACGGAAAAATATCGACGACAGATCTGATTAGCGCCAAAGGACTCACGATCCTAATAGGTAGATAGTCGGAGGGCGGCTTTTACGAGCATCGTTGAGATCAACGGAATGGCCGCTGGAACGATACCGATTTACTTTTATATCGTGAATCGCGATCGATCGTATAATCGCGAGCAAGCAATCGGCAACGAAACGACTCTCGACGACGACGCAGCTTAATAGTGATCCTTTTCAGTATATAGTGGCCGATAAACTCTCGGCCGTATTCCCGCGGAGGACGCAGCTCGGAGGACGATTCGAGAGACGCGCATTTCGGGAGAAGTGATCCTTTCTTTTCCCCTCTCCTTTTCTTCGCGAGAATCCAAATTTTTATCTCTTTCACTTTCAAAAGAGGAAGCTTCCGCTTTATATCGCGGAGAAGCACGCGTCGATATTTGAGAGCGTGAGATATAAATTTGGATACCTTCTTCTCGTGTCACCTGATTAATGATAGATACTGAGAGAAATGAACAATCGCGAACGAGAAATCCCGTCCCTTGTTCCACTTGTATTCGCTCCCTTCTCTCACGATATCCTTGGGACTAACCAACCGCACTCTGACGTAAGTTCGATCCGTGAATCCTACAAAAGTCCTAAAGAGACTCTGCTTTTGCTCTTGGTAATCGCTTGGTATGGTTTGTCTGCAACTGCATGCAAGTTCTCTCTCACGAGTCACACCTAACTGTTTGTAAATCTCTTTGTGAACGCACGTTGATCCGTCGAAGTTGATTTTTTTTCATGTCGAATGAAAATATTTCCACGCTTATATATAAATTTCATATAGCAATTAAAAAAAAAAAAAGAACAGAATTATTAATATCATAAAAAATGCCGAAAATTTGGCGAAATTGTGAGAATAATACAAAATAAATTGAAAAGATACATGTATTATTAAAAAAATGACATCCTCATCGGAATTAAAATTTTCAAGAGTGTATTCGCGGCGGTTTACGTCATATTTATAAAAGATTGAGCGAACGGCGAGATGCCACCTTCGAGGATCAACGTGCCTACGAGCTCGCGCGGGAAGCGTCGAGGATCGAGTTCTCGGAGTGGAACGAGCCGGAAAGCGTTTCGGCGATTCGATCTGACGTTTCGCGCGCGGACGCGAACGATTTATATATGTCTGGACCGAATTAACATGATTTTCGTTCCGTCGGGATGGGAATCCCGGTAGAGGGCCGCGAGTGCGTGAATTGCGGCGCTACTTCGACACCGCTCTGGAGACGAGACGGCACAGGCCACTACCTCTGCAACGCCTGCGGCCTCTATTACAAGATGAACGGCCAGAATCGACCTCTCATCAAGCCGAAACGACGCCTGGTAAGTACCTAAGCTGCTACTTTGTCTACGATTACCATACTTGAGCGAGTAGACGATATAACTTGCGGAAAGCAATCGATTAAAATATTATACGATGGAAAGAAAATAGCCATCTTTATCATCTTATCCTTTCACGTTTAAGGAAGATATTTATTTTATATTTTGTAAAATTTGCATATTTTATTGAGGCTGGATCGATAGATTATGTGTTATAATGTGCTGAAAAATGACGAGGAAATAATCAATGTTTCGCATAGTTAAATCTAATCTAACGTTGTGACACAAGTGAATTTTGTCATATCGGGAAACTAATTTGAGATATGTTTCAATCTCGAAAAAAATTTTATGTCCATCTATTACATATACATGAACGTATGCCGTATTCGTAAAAGTGCGTCCTTGATCGCTTCCTTCGTACAGCGAGATACACATACTTAATTAGCGGTGAGAGAGAAGCCGAGAGTTATGTGTTTCTCGCGCCGCGTAGACGTAGTAATCAGAATGCAAGATAAAACAAGGCTAAGTTAATTTCCTGCACCCGCTGATTAATACCGCGTGTGCTCCGCTCTTCTCTCCGTTGTATGATTAGCAACTCTATCGCTCCGATGACGGCGGGTCGAATGATTTTCGTCGTGTGGAGAATCTTCTCCAACACTTATATATTAAAAAAACGCGTCTTCGCAATATCCTCCGTTACCGACAACATTCCGGGGAATACCTTAGTCACGTCGAAGGCGAGATCTTTACGATCTAATCAATTAAAATTGATTGTTTCGAAGGATGCGAGGCCCGAGTGAATTTCCTTTATTGCGTTTGCAATTTTATTTTTACGCGAAACGTGCAATTTTTTTTTCATTTATGTATAATGAGAGAGAGAGAGAGAGAGAGAGAGAGAAGAAGGTTAAGAAAGAGATGCCACAAAATAATCTTTCGAGCCACATTAAATGACGTAAAACTTATAAAGACATTCGCTTTTTCTATTTATTTTAAATTGCTATTTTTTTGGAGAAACTTTCATACATACACATATATATCTGGAATGAAACATGTATAACTAAAATGCTGGTTCAGAATTATATACATATTGCACTTTTTTATTCTTGTAATGCGATAAGCTCAAAAAATGATTAAGATTTTTAGTCAAGATTTCTCAGATATATATTGCTCTACACAAATTTATCTCATATATATAATATTATAACATAAAAAATAATGCATTTTAGAATATCACTAATCGAAACATCCATTGCATCTAATTGATTCTTCCAGTGATAATACAATAATTTCACCGAAACCGTATATAAATATATATGTATACAAACTAAATTTTCCCTGCATTTATAAAAGGAACATAGATACTCGGATCGTTTTCACGAGCGTGTTTTCAATCATAGCGCGAAGCTCTGTGCACACACACATATACATATATATATCGGGACTCCATCGTACGATCGATATCACATGAAAACGGTAGCCGTGGAGGTTTCGTGCGATCGGCTCGTAGAATTCGTGTGAACTCGATCTATTTTTGGCGACTCGGCTTGGCACCTATGTAGATGGAGCAGGCTCGTCCGAAGTACCGATGCGGAAACTCGATACCGCCGGCCGACCCTGCTCTTCCTCCTTCCTTCGTCATCGTTCGGACTCTCCTCCCGGACTGCGATTCGATCTGGCTAAACACTCACGAGAATTCGCGGAATCGATCACGAAAAGCGACCGAAACGTCTGCTTTCTTTATGGCTTTACACTCTCTCCCTCTATAATCCCTCTATAATCCCTCTATAATACGGGAGGATCGAATTTCTTTTTTGTTTATATCATATACATAGTGTATCACGAAACATCTTAGGCATTTGAATTTTTTTTACAATAGAAAATTAATATTTTTCAACGTAATTTTAAAAATATTAGCAAAATAGAAAAGAACGAGATTTCGACGAAAATAGTTTTGGAATTTTCGCGTTAAATCTCGATAGAAAATATACGAGAGAGATTTTGAAGGATCAATTAGACCTCGCACGCTGCACTTTCGCGCGGGCGTCAACCCTCCACTTCTTTCGCTCCAGATCTCGTCTCGTCGACGAGAGCGCAACGGAATGCAACGAACGTTACCTGGCGCGCATTGCATCGACGTAGCGCGTTTCACTATCCCTCTCGTCGTCGTTGCGCACTTTCTCCTCTATGCGCGATAGAGCAAGGTTGATGGATTCCAAAGTTTTTCACTGGCCGGCGACGCCGCGATGATTATATGCCGACCGGGCACGCCACGCGTTAATTGTTAGCTGTAAAAAACAATGCAACATCGCGTAATTTCTCGCTCTCTTTTTCTTGAAACGCGCCGTGATTTTGCTCGAAACTTTCCGCGTTTTCAGAGGAAAGTCGTTTCAGGGAATGTTTGATCAAAAACTTGGGTGTCGCGTAAATATCTGATTATACACATGTATATATACAGATTGTTTAAAAAAATTTCTTCTAGTTTTATTATAAAAATGTAAATATTAAATTAATTATAACAGAACTGCCAAATTTTTTTAGATGATTCAAGAGGAATAGCAAATCTATATACATATATATTTTTTGAGTTATGCACAACCATCGAGATATTTAATTTGAAAGAGGCATGGAGAGTCAAAATTTGTCAATCGAATCGGTCATTAGAGCGTCGGAGGACATTTTCTACGCACATTTAAAGTACGCCCGCAATTTGTCCACCCTCGCTGATTAAACAGAGACAATCGTTTCGCGCGTTCGCCATGACGACCCGTACAAATATTGTGACGCGATGATGAACCGACACGCCCACCCATCATTCATTTGCGTGCACGCCTGTGTGCGTGCATGCGTGCGTGCGGCGTAAAAGCGCGGTCGATAGAATATGTATCGATTTAAAGCCGTGTTGGCGCGACACTTACATATAGGCGCGATACGAGACACGTTCCGTAATTTCCCCGTCGAACGCTCTTTTTTTTTTTATTCTCTCTTACTTGTCCCCGTTTTACTTCCGGATTAAAAATTTATGCAACCATTCGGCCGAAATTTATCCCCGATTGCTGCCTATCCCGGTGAAATGACGGCTGGTCGTTCACGACGATCCTCTCCCCCCTAGCTATCTACCTCCTTTGTTCGGTAAACGACACCACATATGACAATAGCGGGACATTTCGCGTGGGAAAACGGTGTAAAAATCGTTTGTCTATTATACGGATCAATAAAAAATATTTTTGTCGAACACAAGAAAAAAGAAATAATTATTTTTCGTGAATAATTATATTTTTTTTCTTTCGTTTTTTTTTTCTTGAATTGTTTCAACGATTTATTCAATGATTGAAATGTATTATATGAGTATAAATAATCTGCAGAAATATTATCCTAAAAGTATCGACGAAATTAAATCTTTATTCATATAGCAATTAAAAAAAAAAAAAAAACAGAATTATTAATATCATAAAAAATGCCGAAAATTTGGCGAAATTGTGAGAATAATACAAAATAAATTGAAAAGATACATGTATTATTAAAAAAATGACATCCTCATCGGAATTAAAATTTTCAAGAGTGTATTCGCGGCGGTTTACGTCATATTTATAAAAGATTGAGCGAACGGCGAGATGCCACCTTCGAGGATCAACGTGCCTACGAGCTCGCGCGGGAAGCGTCGAGGATCGAGTTCTCGGAGTGGAACGAGCCGGAAAGCGTTTCGGCGATTCGATCTGACGTTTCGCGCGCGGACGCGAACGATTTATATATGTCTGGACCGAATTAACATGATTTTCGTTCCGTCGGGATGGGAATCCCGGTAGAGGGCCGCGAGTGCGTGAATTGCGGCGCTACTTCGACACCGCTCTGGAGACGAGACGGCACAGGCCACTACCTCTGCAACGCCTGCGGCCTCTATTACAAGATGAACGGCCAGAATCGACCTCTCATCAAGCCGAAACGACGCCTGGTAAGTACCTAAGCTGCTACTTTGTCTACGATTACCATACTTGAGCGAGTAGACGATATAACTTGCGGAAAGCAATCGATTAAAATATTATACGATGGAAAGAAAATAGCCATCTTTATCATCTTATCCTTTCACGTTTAAGGAAGATATTTATTTTATATTTTGTAAAATTTGCATATTTTATTGAGGCTGGATCGATAGATTATGTGTTATAATGTGCTGAAAAATGACGAGGAAATAATCAATGTTTCGCATAGTTAAATCTAATCTAACGTTGTGACACAAGTGAATTTTGTCATATCGGGAAACTAATTTGAGATATGTTTCAATCTCGAAAAAAATTTTATGTCCATCTATTACATATACATGAACGTATGCCGTATTCGTAAAAGTGCGTCCTTGATCGCTTCCTTCGTACAGCGAGATACACATACTTAATTAGCGGTGAGAGAGAAGCCGAGAGTTATGTGTTTCTCGCGCCGCGTAGACGTAGTAATCAGAATGCAAGATAAAACAAGGCTAAGTTAATTTCCTGCACCCGCTGATTAATACCGCGTGTGCTCCGCTCTTCTCTCCGTTGTATGATTAGCAACTCTATCGCTCCGATGACGGCGGGTCGAATGATTTTCGTCGTGTGGAGAATCTTCTCCAACACTTATATATTAAAAAAACGCGTCTTCGCAATATCCTCCGTTACCGACAACATTCCGGGGAATACCTTAGTCACGTCGAAGGCGAGATCTTTACGATCTAATCAATTAAAATTGATTGTTTCGAAGGATGCGAGGCCCGAGTGAATTTCCTTTATTGCGTTTGCAATTTTATTTTTACGCGAAACGTGCAATTTTTTTTTCATTTATGTATAATCAGAGAGAGAGAGAGAGAGAGAGAAGAAGGTTAAGAAAGAGATGCCACAAAATAATCTTTCGAGCCACATTAAATGACGTAAAACTTATAAAGACATTCGCTTTTTCTATTTATTTTAAATTGCTATTTTTTTGGAGAAACTTTCATACATACACATATATATCTGGAATGAAACATGTATAACTAAAATGCTGGTTCAGAATTATATACATATTGCACTTTTTTATTCTTGTAATGCGATAAGCTCAAAAAATGATTAAGATTTTTAGTCAAGATTTCTCAGATATATATTGCTCTACACAAATTTATCTCATATATATAATATTATAACATAAAAAATAATGCATTTTAGAATATCACTAATCGAAACATCCATTGCATCTAATTGATTCTTCCAGTGATAATACAATAATTTCACCGAAACCGTATATAAATATATATGTATACAAACTAAATTTTCCCTGCATTTATAAAAGGAACATAGATACTCGGATCGTTTTCACGAGCGTGTTTTCAATCATAGCGCGAAGCTCTGTGTGCACACACATATACATATATATATCGGGACTCCATCGTACGATCGATATCACATGAAAACGGTAGCCGTGGAGGTTTCGTGCGATCGGCTCGTAGAATTCGTGTGAACTCGATCTATTTTTGGCGACTCGGCTTGGCACCTATGTAGATGGAGCAGGCTCGTCCGAAGTACCGATGCGGAAACTCGATACCGCCGGCCGACCCTGCTCTTCCTCCTTCCTTCGTCATCGTTCGGACTCTCCTCCCGGACTGCGATTCGATCTGGCTAAACACTCACGAGAATTCGCGGAATCGATCACGAAAAGCGACCGAAACGTCTGCTTTCTTTATGGCTTTACACTCTCTCCCTCTATAATCCCTCTATAATCCCTCTATAATACGGGAGGTTCGAATTTCTTTTTTGTTTATATCATATACATAGTGTATCACGAAACATCTTAGGCATTTGAATTTTTTTTACAATAGAAAATTAATATTTTTCAACGTAATTTTAAAAATATTAGCAAAATAGAAAAGAACGAGATTTCGACGAAAATAGTTTTGGAATTTTCGCGTTAAATCTCGATAGAAAATATACGAGAGAGATTTTGAAGGATCAATTAGACCTCGCACGCTGCACTTTCGCGCGGGCGTCAACCCTCCACTTCTTTCGCTCCAGATCTCGTCTCGTCGACGAGAGCGCAACGGAATGCAACGAACGTTACCTGGCGCGCATTGCATCGACGTAGCGCGTTTCACTATCCCTCTCGTCGTCGTTGCGCACTTTCTCCTCTATGCGCGATAGAGCAAGGTTGATGGATTCCAAAGTTTTTCACTGGCCGGCGACGCCGCGATGATTATATGCCGACCGGGCACGCCACGCGTTAATTGTTAGCTGTAAAAAACAATGCAACATCGCGTAATTTCTCGCTCTCTTTTTCTTGAAACGCGCCGTGATTTTGCTCGAAACTTTCCGCGTTTTCAGAGGAAAGTCGTTTCAGGGAATGTTTGATCAAAAACTTGGGTGTCGCGTAAATATCTGATTATACACATGTATATATACAGATTGTTTAAAAAAATTTCTTCTAGTTTTATTATAAAAATGTAAATATTAAATTAATTATAACAGAACTGCCAAATTTTTTTAGATGATTCAAGAGGAATAGCAAATCTATATACATATATATTTTTTGAGTTATGCACAACCATCGAGATATTTAATTTGAAAGAGGCATGGAGAGTCAAAATTTGTCAATCGAATCGGTCATTAGAGCGTCGGAGGACATTTTCTACGCACATTTAAAGTACGCCCGCAATTTGTCCACCCTCGCTGATTAAACAGAGACAATCGTTTCGCGCGTTCGCCATGACGACCCGTACAAATATTGTGACGCGATGATGAACCGACACGCCCACCCATCATTCATTTGCGTGCACGCCTGTGTGCGTGCATGCGTGCGTGCGGCGTAAAAGCGCGGTCGATAGAATATGTATCGATTTAAAGCCGTGTTGGCGCGACACTTACATATAGGCGCGATACGAGACACGTTCCGTAATTTCCCCGTCGAACGCTCTTTTTTTTTTTATTCTCTCTTACTTGTCCCCGTTTTACTTCCGGATTAAAAATTTATGCAACCATTCGGCCGAAATTTATCCCCGATTGCTGCCTATCCCGGTGAAATGACGGCTGGTCGTTCACGACGATCCTCTCCCCCCTAGCTATCTACCTCCTTTGTTCGGTAAACGACACCACATATGACAATAGCGGGACATTTCGCGTGGGAAAACGGTGTAAAAATCGTTTGTCTATTATACGGATCAATAAAAAATATTTTTGTCGAACACAAGAAAAAAGAAATAATTATTTTTCGTGAATAATTATATTTTTTTTCTTTCGTTTTTTTTTTCTTGAATTGTTTCAACGATTTATTCAATGATTGAAATGTATTATATGAGTATAAATAATCTGCAGAAATATTATCCTAAAAGTATCGACGAAATTAAATCTTTATTAGAGTCTACGTTTCCATAAACTTGTGATAAAGAATGATCAAGATTTTGTCATAGCAATAATAATTAAATTTTCATCGAATCTTCTCGCACGTATAAACCAAACTTTATTCTCGGAGGGCACGATCTATACTCTGGAGAGGGGGATGTATTCGCGCAAATGCATATGCCTTCATCGCAATATGTCACATTTTTAGCGCCCCGTCGCGTCGACCGCGTCGAATCCGGTCACAGATGCGTCGCCGAAGAGCGGAGCTCTGATACGATCTGGGAAACAAAAGGCGGCCACCAGGTATACGCACGCGGGTGCGCGCGCGAACGACCCGCCACCCCGTATATAATAAAGTCGTGGCACATATTGCTCCGGTGTCCCTCTTCCTCCTTTTGTACGTACCTATCGTACGTATCGAGCTACACGGGAATTCCACGCGCACACGTACACGCGCACGCACACGCGTGCGCCGTGAACTTCTGCTGCGACGGCGAGTTTCGATCAGGCAGATAGCAAGGGTTGAAACCCCCCCTTCCTCCCGTTGCGACCGACGTCCGCCATGTTTGATCCTTCGCGAAGATAGGCCGGCTCGAACAGCTGGGAAATTTTCGTTTTTTTCCCCCCTTTTTTCTTTTTAAACCTCTCTTTCTCGCTCTCGCTCTACCCCTCCTCTCCGTTCGCGCTAAGGGCGGCTTACCTTTGGCAACACGTGGGATGGAATGCCGCGATACGGCGCCAATCTGCCGTTTCGTGCAAGAACGCGCAAAATATGGCGGAATACGAACTAGTTTCAGTATGATTTTTGGCAACAGATATTCGTCTGATATAATATAATTGTGAAAATATTAACAAAGAATTTATATTCGTCATAATACATTTTATTATTGCTATCACGTGGATGCTTATGGATATTATCTATCCTAAATAATATATTAATTAAAAACTTATAATATATTAATTTAATTATTCTTGACGCGTGGGAAAATAACGGGAACTCGGTGTTTGCTACCGGAATCGATTCTCTCGACGACGTCGCGCGAAGAGAGATGATCCTTTACTCGAAGCCGCGAGTTCTCGCAGTCGAAGGAGAAAGGAGGAAGGAGAAAGAGAAAGACACTAACCTTCTGGGCGCAGAGTCGCTCGTTAACGACTGTCCTACACACGCTCCCCTGTCTCTCCCCCTCGCGTTCTGGCGATGCTTATCTGCGCCCATGCCGTGCAACGCTCGTAGAGTTACGGTCCTCCAGGCGTTCCTGGACATTCCAGCGGAAGCTGCGGCTGCCACTGCTGCAGCCAGAAACCAGCACCCTCGACGAGACCCGTTAACCTTGCTAAAGACGCATAGTGCGTTCGCACAGGATCGAGAACCTGGTGAAAACGTATAATAGTGATCGTGAAGGTCAAGATTGTTGAAACGATTCCGAGACTTTCTCTCGCGAAGTGAAAGAGCTTTCAGGAATGATTCCGAGTGTCTTCACTCGGACATTGAAAGAACTTCGAGAAATCATTCCGTCCAGGAGAAATGGTGACCTCGAACTTCGCGGCGCGATTTTATCTCCTTGACTCTTCGGGTAGCCAAGATGGCGAGCGATCGAGAGAGAGAGAGGGACGAGCT